TTTTGGGGACGCTGTCGAGCCAAGGTTTGTAGTGACAGCTAGTTTTGTCAATGGCTGTATTGACACAGACTTTCTTAAAAAACGTTTTAGTTTGTATTTTATTGTCTTTGATAAAAATATCGAGGTCTAAAAAGTTTATTTTTTCTTTGCTAAAATCATGAGTTAAAATTATGCCTCTGTTGTTAGTGTTTAGATTACCAATAAAAGAAGTAAGACTCTCTTCAGACCCGTTCCAAATAAAAAAGAGGTCATCGATATATCTGAAGTATGAGACCAGGTTCGCCCTAAGATGGTCCCCATCATATATTGCATAAGATTCCCAATCTGACATAAATAGATTGGCGTAGATTGGGGCGAACCTGGTACCCATAGCTGTGCCTCTTTTTTGTAAATAAAAGGAATCTAAAAACCAAAAATAGTTGTTTTTTAAAATAATATTTATCCCTTCTAGTATAAAATCTATTTGTGTTGTAGAGAGTCTGTTTTCACTTATTAAAATATTTTTAATGGCTGCACATCCAAAATTGTGATGTATAATGGTGTACAAAGACTGTACATCGCATGTAGCTAGAATAAAATTAGAATTCCACTTAAAATTATTTAAAAAGTTTAAAAGGGACATTGAGCCTTGTAGATAAGATTTCATTTTTTTTAACTGCAGGTTGTAGGAGAGTATCGATATATTGTGAAAGGTTGCAAAGAAGAGAGCCTATTCCTGACACTATTGGTCTACCGGGAGGATTAGTTTCATTTTTGTGTATTTTTGGAAGAAAATAGATAACCGGAATTTTTGGAGATTTTTGTCTAGGAAATTGAACTCATGTTTATTAAGAATACCCAAAGATACACCTTTCTCTAAAAAAACGGATAAAATATTTTTTATACTTATAGTGGGATCTGATTTAAATTTTTCATATATGTCTGTATCGTTTAATTGTCTGTGCGCTTCTTCAATATACATAGAACTAGGTAAAATAACTAAACCCCCTCCTTTGTCTGCGAGTTTTATGACGATTTCTTTGTCGTCTTGTAGTTCTTTAAGAGCCTTTCTTTCACCATTCGTTAAGTTATGAGAGTCCTGTTTTTTTGTATGCAACTTTTCTAGATCTTTAGTAACTAATTTTTCAAAAACAGTTAGAGGGGCTGTCTTCATAAAAGCTGTTAAAATTTAGATTTTTCTTTAAATTGTGTATTTATGACTTGATCTCTTGAAGGTGAAGGGGGAGATAATAATGGTTGTTTTCTATTGGATGCAAGTTTTCTTCTGTTTTTTCATTAAAATACCGTTTAAGGGTCGCTTTTCTAACAAATTTGTTAACATCAATAAAAGCTTGAAATGATTTAAAAGAATTGGTCGGGGCAAATTAAGTCCTTTACTTAAAACGGATAGTTGAGCATTTGTGAAATTTTTTTGTGTAAGGTTAAAAATCCCACTCTGTGAATCCTTTATTTTGGGTGTTATCTTTCTAGTTTTTCTCTCTTGTTCCCTTCTCCCACTTCTTCTTCCTCTAAACTTAAGGTTCTTTTCTGGGATCGTGATGGATGGGGCGTTTGAATCAGAGTACTTGGATGTGTGCGTATCTCTAAAAAATGGTCCTCGTTTTCAAATTCTGAATTAATGGACAGCAATTGGTATCTGTTATTGTGTTGAGGGATAGTGGGTGATTAGGGGTTATCAGTACGATCATTTATGTACCTAGATCTCTGTGGTTTTGGTGAAAATTTTCTTTTTTTGAAGTATGTATTGTGGTGATATTTTCTGGGTGGGGGAGAAAAGGTTTGCCTTTGATTATGGTGTGATAGTGTTTGGTATGTTTGTGTATTTGATTTGGCAAAAGTGTCAGAATAAGAGTGAGTTTGGTCTGGGTGTGATCGTTGTCTGTAAGGTGAGGATTTTCTTTTAGTGTAGTTTTGATATTGGTATTTGTGTTGGTCATAGTGGCGAGTGATATTGTTATGTTTTCTTGGTTGAAAAGGTGTTTCTATTTCAGTGTGTTTTTTGTTCATTGTGGGATATTCTTTATGGATTGGGTGTTGTGTAGTGTATTTTTTGTTTAGATGATAGGTACGTACTTGTTTATTTGCATAATCAGTCTTATCTCTGATATATTTCTTGATTTTAATATGTTTAGTGTCTATCTCTACTTTTTCGATTTTACTTTGAATTAATACACAATTTTGATTATATGCTCTTCTTTCAGTGAATGGTATAAGTTTATCCCTTAGGTTGTTGATTTCTGAATCTAAAATGGATAGTTTTTTACTTTTTTTGACTATCAGAGTTTACATTAGGCCTAAAGTACACACTTCTAATTTGTTGTTCCATTCTTCCATGAATTCCAAATCATCTTGGTCTGAAGTAGGCAACTTAAGGAGCCTTAGGCCCCGAGGAGTAATTCTTTCATCTATATATTTTTTCAGAGTAGCAATTTCCCATTTTAATTTTATTTCAGAGGTAAGGGATCTCTCTAATTTAGTAAATAGTTCTTGCTGCCTGAAA